ACTTGTGATTCTCCTGCTTTGGTCTCCCAAGTATCTAAATACTTTTAATGTAGTAAGACTTAATTCCTACAATAACCCTCCAAGATAATGTTATTTACATCTATGGGATGAATAATAAGTTGTCCCTAGATATCCACAGAGGATTGGCTCTAGGACCCTTGGAGTAACCAAAAACCTATGGAAGTCTCATATAAAATCTCATATAAAAGTCTCATATAAAATAGTACAGTTTTGCATATAACATATGTACTTCATCCCATATACTTTATCTTTAGATTACCCATAATACCTAATATGATATAAATGCCAAGTAAACAGCTGTTACACTGAATACTGTTTAGAGAAGAATGACAAGAAGTACGGTACAGCTGGGCATGGTGGTGCACGCCTGTAATCCCAGCATTCGGGAGGCTGAGGCAGGAGGATTGTTGCGAGTTCGAGACCAGCCTGGGCTACAACGTGAGCTCAAGGCCAGCCTGAACTAATAGTGAGACCCTGTCTCAAAGACAAAAAAAAAAAAAAAAAGCAAGTACGGTACAGTTATTTTTTCAAACATTTTCAACTCCAAGTTGAATTCACAGACATGAAACTCACGGCTATGGAAGGCCACAGGTTATTTTACACATCACAAATGAGTAAAGCTTAGAGATTCAGTATCTGGCTGAAGTTTACATATCTAGTACCCAGTAGAGTTGGGGTAGGGGCTGATTTCAAAGCCTAGATCTCAATAACAATACTTCAACTACACTCAAACTGAGCTCTTGGTTTCTGTCCCATTTCCTGACTTCTATACTCTTTCTCTACCCTGAACTTTCAAATACTATCCATCCTTCAAAGCCCAGCTCAACTACCATTTCTCCACCAAGGCTTTTCAGGTATTCTAAGTGGGAAGGAATCTATTCTGTGTGAATTTACAGAGTACTTGTTCTTTCCTTTTCCTAAGTATATAATTAAAATTTCAATTCATTTTCATCATAGAAAGTTTAAGGTTGGGTACAGTGGTGCACAACTGTAATCTAAGCACTTGGGAGGCTGAAGCAGGAAGATCACAAATTTCAGTCCAGCCTGGGCATCTTAATGACTGAGACTCTACCTCAAAAAAAAAAGCAGGCATGATGGCACATACCTGTAATCCTAGATTTGGGAAGCTGAGGCAGGAAGACTGCTCTGAGTTCAAGGTACTCTGCACTACAAAATGAGTTTAAGGCCAGCCTGAACACATTGTGAGACCCTGTCTCAAAAAAAAAAAAAAAAAAGAAAGTAAAATCAGAATAAACAAATGAATAGAAAAACAGGCTGGGTATAGGAATACTGTTCACTGTGAAGGCATGCACGTGTATGTGCATGTATACACACACAGAGTTCAAATTGCTGGATGTGGTGGCACACACCTGTAATCTCAACTATTCAAGAGGCAAGAAGGTCACAAGTTTGAGGCTAGCCTGGACAATTTTTAAAAAAGGCTGAAGGGCCAGGGATCTAGCTCAGTGGTGCAAGTGCCTGCCTGGCAAGCACAAGGTCCCGAGTTTGATTCCTGGTACCAAAAAAAAAAAAAACAAAAAAAGGGCTGGAGGTATAATCCTGTGGTAAAGTACTTGCCTAATGTGCAAGGCCCTGGATTCAATCCCTAGGACCAAATAAAGAAAGAAAACAAAAAGCTGTTAAGAATTATTCAATTCCAATTTCTTACACTTGTATCTCTATGTGTTACATTTTTAGATGAAGGTAAGAGGGTTTGTTTAAAAAAAAAAAAAAAAGGAATGACCTCTTTCTCTCCAGGGGACTGGTAAAAACATGTCAAATACTCCTTCTCCTCCCATCCTCATTAAAGAACAAAAGAGCATCCACTTCTAGGTACACGAAGCCTGTCTGGTTTCTGTTTTAGCGGGGTCTCAGAAGGAAATGACTTTTCTCTGAAATTGTAGACGCCCAACCCAGCTACGGTATTGTTAGTCCTGAGGATAAACAAGAAGCTTCCTGTCTTGGGCTCTTCATGTCCCTCTTCCAGACTATTAAAGACTGTTAACAGGATGGTAAAAGGACAGCTGCTGGCCATAAAATCTGCCCATTCCTTAGATCCTTACAGAATAGCAACTAGACCTCTCTCCAAGGTCAGAGAAAACCCTGTTCTCTAGGCTGTACCAAGTGTGTCTACCTACCCAGGGTCTCCAGGCATATGGTTTCTGGGAGTGATGAGATCCAGTGTGACAGTTACCCTGAGACTGCCACATCTTCTAGGAGGGGAATAATCAATCCTGACTATCCCCTAGAAGCAGGCAAAGAAAAAAAGCCAAGAGTAAAGGAGCCAGTGCTCCGAGATAGGCAATAAAGAGTTGAAACAGGACCCCAACTCCTCCTGCACACAGGGTGGAAGTCCCTGGATTTGCAGCTGCTGGTGAGGAGTTTCTGCCAGCTGGAAGGATACTAGGGCAGGGGTGATCATCTTCTGCCAAGGAGGGCACTTGGTGTCTTGGCAGAAGGTAGAGGACTGTCCTCATCTGTGTGTACATTTTCAGAAGCGCTTGACTCCAGACCAAACACTCAGCTGTGTTAGTGCTGCGGCGATGGGTGGGAATGCTTATTGGCCAGGCTGGCCAGAGGCTCCCACAGAGGGTGCTGGGCCTCAGCCAGGAGTTTCCCTTCAGCTGGCAAGTTTAGCTTTCTGTCACGGTCAGAGGGAGAGTGTCCAAATTCTGACTCGGGGCTCTCCAGAAGCTGCTGATGATTATCCATCTGCTTTGAAGTTTTTGCTTATTGGAATTTTTGGCTCAAATGAGAAGAGGGACGATGATACAAAGCCAAGCTCTCACCTGGCTCAAAGAATGGGCAAAAACTGCTCAGTAGGGTCAGTGATTTTACTACCATGAGTGACAGACATTTAACTAAAAGCAGGGGAGACTGGACTTACCTGTAATTTACTCTTTCTGGCTGCGGTGTTGGCTCCTCTGACCCAAGTCTACCAAGCAAGCAAGCACATGCACTTTGAGAATGGCAGGAAAACTAGTCACTGCCAGTTACTTTACACAGGACAAGGAGCCTTGTTTGGCAGGTGTCACTGTTCTCCTATGTTCAAACAAAAGATCACTGCTTCTCAGAGTTGCACCCAAGGGTGGAGGAGTCTCTTCTAAAGGCTGAAAGCAGTAGCAATGGAGATACTTTCTTCTCAAGTTACATTTCAGTGTCCACATAAGTGGTTAGACTGGGGTGATTCTGTTAAGGACCCACTCAAGATCTTAAGAGCTTACAACCCCTTCTTGCCCTAGGAATGACAGCATGGTATCACCCCCAGTTTTAGAGGCTGTAACGAAGGTTCTGAAACTTGCCCAAGGTCACAGAGCTTGGGTTGTATTGAGGGAACTAGAATCCAGGGCTCTTACCACAGTTATTTTGTTTTTGTTTTTTACATACTGGGGATTAAATCCAAGGCCTTCACACTAAGCTACATCCCCAGCAAACTGGATCCCCAGAACAGGTGTATTTCTTTTGAACAAGCTGGAGCCCCTGAGTCTATAAAGCCAAGCCCTTCTGCGAGGTCTCTAGGGTACACTGAGCTGGGTGTGCAGCTAAAGAAAATGCAGTCCCTACAAATGACCAATAATATATACAAAATTGTTCGGTATTGCTGGCCACTAGAGAAATGCAAATTAAAACAACCCTGAGATTCCATCTTATCTCAGAAAGAGAAAAATGGAAACAAAGCTTTTGTAAGTAAGGAGGGAAAGGACCAGGGATATAGCTCAGTGGCACAAGCGCCTGCCTTGCAAGTGCAAGGTCCTAAGTTCAATTCCCGGTACCAAAAAATTTTTAAAAATGAGGGGAAGAGGGATTGAAGGGAGGGGAGGATAATGGAAAAGAAAGAAGATATACCATGTACAGGTACAAATTCCCTATGATGAATGTTATCATTATGTGTATCTAAAATGTACCAATAAAATTTTATAAATAAAAGATAATAAATTTTTTGAAGGTGCGTGTGTTAGCACATGCCTGTAATTCCAATACTAAGGAGGCTGAAGCAGGAAGACTGCCATGAGTTCAAGGTCAGCCTGGGGTACATAATGAGAGCTTGTCAGAAGAAAAAAAAATTGAGATAGGATCTTGCTAAATTGCCCAGGTTGAGTTCAAATTTATGATCCTCTTGCCTCAGCCTCTCAGAACACTAGGATTATAGGAATGTGCCACTATGCCTAGCTTCCTGTCACATTCTTCTTCTTTTTTATTATTTTTTTTGAGACTGCTTTCCCTACATAGGTCAGGCTGGCCTTGAACTCGCTATGTAGCCCAGGCTGGACTCAAATTCACAGCGATCCTCCTACCTCAGCCTCTGAGTGCTAGGATTATAGGCATGTACCACCACACCTGGCTTTCTGCACCATTCTTACCCTGATATTTCTTCCAAGTGACTTATATTATTATTTGATGCTGGGGGTCAAACCCAGGGTCTCACAAACTCTACAAAAGAGCTCTACTCCAAATCTCTATTATTTGTAAAAAGATAATTCATTGCATGTATAACTAGAAGTTGTTTAATTAGTACATCTTTGTAAGTTTTTTTATATAAACAAATGCACAAATCACAAGAAAAAAATTCTTCAGAAATATTCCATTTAGAGAAGACAGTCCCATTTTCCTATTGGCACCACACTGTCTAGGCCTGCACTATCTTGTGTGGACCATCACCAGTCTGTTTGCTAAGTCTTTGATCAAGCATACATTTAAATAATTTACATTTAAATGTATATGAGTCAGTGGTAGGTTTAAGACTGTCTCTGCTATGCTGACTAGACAGATGCAGGGGTATTTTAGATTTGGAATAAGATTATCTTCACCTACAATGAAAATAGTTATTACTCTAAAACTTGCCCCAGAAGGGTCTCTCTAGTGACTTATGCTTCTCCCATTCCAAATCACCATCCAAAGATGGGGGTAAGGCTGGGTGTGGTAGTGCACACCTGTAATCCCAGAACTTCGGAGGCTGAGGCAGGAGGATCGCCACAAGTTTGAAGCCAGCCTGGGCTACATAGTGAGCTTAAAGCCAGCCTGAGCTACATAGCAAGATCCTGTCTCAGAAAAAAGATGGTGATTTGAAAGGGTTCTAATGGACACAGCAATGATCCCAGAGCAGCATGGGCAGCACCCGTATGTTTTTTAACTTTCAGATCCTGGGTTAAGCCAGCTTCCAGGTTCCAGCCTGTCTCTCGACACTCCAGGTCACGTCCAAGGCAGGAAGTTGCAATGCAGGAGAAGTCCCAGGAGCCAGTAAGTCAGGAAGTAGCCTAGAATGTATCGTGTGACTGGAGAACAGGTTTTCCAGTTGTACAAAAGTCCCAAGATAAAATTTCTGGGAACCTTTTGTCCTGATGGGGAGTCTTCCACAAGAAGCTTCCAAGATACTGTCTCTGCGGATCTCAACAGTGGCTCTTGATCCTGAAGTAGGTAAGCTGGAAACCAGTATACAACAGGAGTGGAGGAGCCTAAAAACCTGGTGAGAACCTAGAAATCATAAAAGAGAAAAAACCCACACATTTATGAGAAAGTCACCGATGCAAGATGGATCAGCCTGGGATTCTCTGCTTATGGGTGAACTATGGCCCAATGACAAGAATCACAATGCACCGGAAAAGAAATTCAACAAAGCTGAGGATGTACCTTATAAATATGCATGCGATACCTGCAAGGCAACACCCATATTACAAACAAACATAGCATTAGACTATTTACAATAGTGGGACAATCAATGCTAAAATCTATGTGATCTAATTTCAACCGAGGACCTGGACTCTAAACTCTGGGCTGTGACCTAAGGCTTGGGAACCTAAGAAGGCTCCCTTATCTCACAGGAATGGCAAAGCACAGGGAAAGGGGCTGGAGATCCTGTGGTTCAACTTTCCCCCTCTTCCAGGATTTCAGAGCCAAATCTTCATGTGTCCTCCACCACCTACCCTAGAAACTGCCAGCAATCCAGTCACAAACACATAATGCCACTTTCTTTTTCCCGTGTCTCCTACCCACACAGCTCAGAGAACCTCGCAAATAGCTAACATGTGCCTCCAAGAGGTAGATACTGTGAAGGGAGAGGTCATCTTGGAGACAAGACTTCCCAGAGGATGCTGAAACTAGGGCCACAGCCAAGAACAAAAATCAGACATAAAATCAACTCCCTCCTAATCCTTCTGTATTGTCATCACCACAACAAATAAGGTGTATCTTCTGAAAACAGCACCTGCCTCAGTTCAGACTTATTTCCAGACACTAACATAACATGGGTATGTCTGGAGGGAGGTCCATGTCTATCCCTGTATTTCAGCTGGATCAGGTCCCTTCACAATCTTCACGTTCTCTGCGTGCTCTCCCAATGCCGAGGGTGTTTCTTCTTCGCTTTTTATGCAAAATGCCTTCTTATTCTTCAATACGATGATGCCTTCCTCAACTCTTGCAGTAAGTTAGCTGCTACTTCTTTTCCTCAATATTTCATCTGAGGTTTTAAAAAACATTTATTGCCGGGCGTGGTGGCGCACGCCTATAATCCCAGCACTTGGGAGGCTGAGGCTGGAGGATTGTTGCAAGTTTGAGGCCAGCCTTTGTAGCTCAGCTACAAAGTGAGCTCAAGTCCAGCCTGAATTGCAGAGCAAGATCTTGTCTCAAAAATACAAAAAAATATGGCAAGCCTGAGGTCATGAGTTTGATTCCCAGTACCCCAAAACAAAACAAAAAAACAAGTACCAGTTTGATTCCCAGTACCCCAAAAAAACAAACAAAAAAGAACTGTGACCTAAAATAAACTTTAAAAAAAAATAAAAAACATTTATTTTATATCTCAAAAGAGCAAGCACTATTCCACCTCACTATATTATAATTTTATCTGTTCAATGTCTAGCTCCCTGTTTATACCACAAAACTCACTCAGGCAGCAATTTTATTTTACTTGTGTTCCATCCTGAGGTCTGACTCAGGGTCTGGCACAAAGAAAACCCCCAAATGATTGTTGAACCTATAGATTAGGTACCAGTCACTCAAATGGGAGAAGGTAGTCTATATTCTCTGTCCTGGGAGTTTTGCCTATATTCACATTCTTACCCCAAGCAGGAACTGACCTCACCTGAACATGCATGCACAGGCCTCCAAACAGCAGCAGAAATACAGCGTGGACCAGGTAAACAAACACCTGTGGACTGAGGAAGCCTGGACTGGACTTCTCTAGGGCCTTACTGTTCTTGTTCCTTCGAAGCCCAAGTGTAAGGCAGAGCCAAGGGTGTGTGGTCACATAGGTCCAGGTTGCCCAGGAAACCAATATAGCCACCGGTGCCGCCAGCAGAAAATTGGGCACCTGCTTGAGCTCATAGTATCTCAGAAAGCCAACATTCCAGTAGACATCCTGGATATAGCTGTATATTAGAGGAAGATCCCAGGAGCACCACGGTGGCTCATTCCCCTCTGCAATCCGATAGCCTTTCTCCAGAGCTAACTGCACCAAGGGCTCAGGAATGGAGCGGGCTGGGCCTGGCAGACAGAACTGGGTATATGCATAATACTGAAAGAGGGCAAAGGGAAGGCTCAGTGTGAGCACTGACAGGCACACAGAGGCTACCAGCTTAAAGAACTGTCTCGGGGGGTTCAACACCACAAGAGAAGAGAAAAAGCCTCGGCACTGAGAATGCAGGAGGAAACCAACACTGACCAGCCCATTGGAGCGCACCCCAGTGGCAAGAGCAAAGAGGAGCCCACTAGTCCAGCCTCGGCCTCTCTCTAGCTGCCCCATTGCGCTGAATGTCAGGAAGGCGAACAAAGCTTCTGAGTAACCAGCTGCCAGGAAAACATTTGCAGGGCTGAGGCAGAAGAGCAGTGCTGCATAAAAGGCCTGGCGGGGACAACGCAAAACTAGACACCCCAGGTCATGAAGTGCTACTGCGGCCAGCACGGAGAACAAGGAGTTGAGTGATGCTACTGAAACCAGCAGGCAACTCCGTTGGCTCAGTAACCCCCGAAGGGGTCTCAACAGTTCAGTCCCTACCAGGAGGGCCAAGGGGAAGCCAGGGAAGAAGGCAAAGTTGTGCTCATAGAGGTAGCCATGCTCAGCAATGAACAGGAAGTGTTCGGCATCCCAGCGAGAGAGGCCACCCAGAAGACCTTCCACAAGCTGGTCCACATAGCCTGAGGGAGCCAGGCGGGGAGGAGAAAAGGCTTCTGCATGGTGATCTGGGATGATGGCATTGAAGAAAGCCTGCGGGGTGAACAGGAATCAGGATTTTAGTTGAGTACATGAAAGAGAAGAATTATCACTTAATAAAATGAGGAAGAACAGGGCTGGCAATGCAGCTCAGTGGCAGAAAGCTTGCCTTGGGTAGTGGTAGAATGCATGCATGGGGCTCTGGGTTTGATCCCCAGCATTGCAAAAGCAAATACAATGAGTTAGAGACTTGAAGGAAATCAGCAGCTCAGTTTTGGATTAGCTAATTCTAAACTGGACACTGTAGTACAAAAGTCAGCTGGGTGTGGAGGTACATGCCTGTAACATCAGCACTCGGGAGGCTGAGGAAGGAGGATCTCAACGAGTTTGTGGCCAGCCTGGGCTACATAATGTGTTCAAGGCCAGCCTAAACTATACATGAGATCCTGTCTCCAAAAACCCAAAACAAAACAAAACCAAGAAAGACAAAAGTCAAACAAGTGTGAGATGTTCGAGTCTGTGAATAAAAATTGGGGCTACAGATACAAACTGGAGATGGAAGTGTATGCATGCACAGGTGGTATTTACAGGTGTAAGACTGAAGATTCCTCCACTGCAGAAAGAGAACAGGTCTGAGAGGGAAGCCCTGGATAGGTCAAATTAAGAAGTTTGAAAGGAGGTGAGGGTCCAGCATGAATAAAAAGAAGGCCAGTGAGGTGGGGGGAACCCAAGAAAGCATGCTGTCTTAGAATCGAGTGAAGAACAGGAGGGAGCAACTCTCTCGAATGCTGCTAATAGGTCAGGTATGATGGAGACTGAACTCAGTAATGTGAAGTCCCTGGTAAGTTTAACTAGAGCTATTTCAAAGGAGTGGAGGAGAAAGAAGCCTCTCTGGAATAGGTTCAATAGGGAATGAGTGAAAGAAAACTGATTTAAAGAGTTTTGCTATAAAGGGGAACAGAGAAATGGAGTAGCAGGTGTATGGCAAGGTGGGATCAAGAGAAAAAAACTTTTTAGAAGTAACATGGCACTGGGAATAATCCAGTGAAAAGGAAATCACTGAATATGTAAAACAGAGGGGAAGCTGGGCATAGTAACACATGCCTATAATCCCAGCACTGAGGAGGTTGAGGCAGGAGGAGCACAAGTCTGGGCGACACAGTGAGTTCAAGGCCAGCCGGAACTACATGCCAAAACCCTATCTCAAAAAAAGGAAAAAGAAAAAAAAGTCAAAATGGTTTGACAGGTAATAAGAGATGGAATCTGTTAGACAAGTGGAGGAGCCAGCCTTAGAGAGGTTCATCTAACCTTCGCTGGTGAAGGCACACAGGTGCAGATGCATGTGAGATGATGGATATGGGGGGAGCACATAAAAGATCACTTCCAATGCCTTCGATTGAATCTTCACCCAAAAAAACAAATTATCAACTAAAAGTATTGGAAAAAATTTGTTAGAGACTTGAGGAAAGAAGAAAACATATCGCCGGGAGTGGTGGTGCACACCTGTAATACCAGCACTCAGGAGGCTGAGGCAGGAGGATGGCTGTGAGTTTGAGACCAGCCTGGGCTACAAAGTGAGCTCAAGGCCAGCCTGAACTGCACAGTAAGACCCTGTCTCAAAAAGACAAAAAAAAAAAAAGAGGAAAACATTTACAATAAATTACCTATTGGCCAGGCATGGTGCTCATGCCTGTAATCCCAGCATGTGGGAGCCTGAGGTAGGAGGATTACCACGAGTTCTAGGCCAGCCTACACTACAAAGTGAGTTCAGAGCCAGCCTGAACTACACAGTAACTAGTGAGACTCTGTCTCAAAAAAAAAAAAAAAAAGTTACCTATAACCTTCAATTTCAAAACAGTCTGTGCTGTGAAACCACCAAGAGAGTTTAAAAAATACTGATCCCTGGGGTCCTCCCAGATATTTCATGATTTAAATGCCATGGGGTACAGCCTGAGAACTGGAGTTTTCTTTTTAAGTCACCCAGGTGATTCTGATGTGCAGAAATTTTTGAATGAATAGGAGAGTGGATGGGTACAGAAAAATACTCCGAGATTGCCAGGTGGCACTAATGTCTCATTTGGGTTAGTGATCTTGTATAAAACAATGACTTATTAGTATAACTACATATTTTCTCTGGGTAAATGGAGACACAGAGGAGGAGTAAGAAAGTTGGATTTTGTCCGATGAATAAAGCATAGGGAGCAGGGACGAAGAGTTCAGTGGGTATGCACAGGAATGATTATGAGAGACCACTGAATCTCATCTGAGCTGAAGAGAGCTGAACCCATTAGATGGCTGAGGGTTAGAGGAACAATGGGAGGTCAATGAATTATAAATCCGGAGAGGGGGAAGAACTAGAACTAGGGTAACAGGAGTCAGCTGGACAGATCGTAGACGGGGGTCACAGAATAGGATGTTTCAAACAGATTACCTGGCAAGGCTTGGGGGTACAGGGTGTAAGAATGAGAGTGGTGAAAGGAACAGGACAAGGAAGTGAGAGACCAGGACACTGGATGTATCAACATCATTAATATCAAAACCACAGGGGCTGGGGATTTAGCTCAGTGGCACAGTGCCTGCCTGGCAAGCGCAAGGTCGTGAGTTCAATTCCTGGTACCAGGAAAAACAAAACAAAACAAAACAAAAACAATATCAAAACCACAAAGATATCAACAGAACCAGTGCTAGAAAGAGCTGACAGCGAACCATGAGCTAAACCTTCAAGGAATAACTGTCATTGACAGATACGACAACAATGATGAAGGGTAACTAGCGATAATATTCTCTTTCACGGAATGTGTTTTAAAGGTAGAAATAGTGGGAGGAGAGGGAGGAGATAACGAAATGGCTTTTTTTTTGTGAAACAGGGTCTTTCTAGGTAGTTCAGGCTGGCTTCAAAATTGCAGGGATCCTCCTGCCTCAGCCTCCTGAGTGCTACACCATGTGCGGCACCATGCCTGGCTCACTTTTATTGTTAAATGTCTTTTATCGTTAAATGTCGTTGTTAACTACTTAAGAGAAAAGACACCACTGGGTTTTTGCTTTTTTTTTTCTTAGTACTGGGAACTGAACATAGGGGTGCTCTCCCATTGAGCTATAACCTATCCCATTTTATTTTTTATTTTGAGACAGGGTCTAAGTTGCCCAAGCAGAACTCAAACTTGCAATCCTCTTGACTCGTCCGGTACCTAATAAAACTGTAGTTGTTGAATGAACTTCAGGAATTGAGGAATTTACTGTTTCCAAAATCTCCAACTGAATTAGAATCCAGCTCTCCTGTTCCTTATTCTAGATGCTGACTTGCAGTATTACTCTTTTGGTTCTGCCAAAAACTCAGCTGATGCTGGTTCAGAGCCACTGAGTCATAGTCTCCCCAGGCTGGCAACAGGAGCATAACCCTATTTTTAAGGCTCTTTCTCTTTTTGATCAGATTTTTTTATCAGCTCACATCAAACACTGAAAACAAATGGGACAGGAGTGACAGTCACAGGTAACAGCCCTAACCTGCAAGTTAAAAACACTTTAATTAAACCTAGTACCCAGCAGAGCCTGGGGAAGGAGAGGAAAGGAGCTTTCCACAAAGGAACCAGCCAGGAGCCTCAGAGAATGGACGTGGTGATATAAAAGCACACGTATTTATGTTAATATAACATCTCTAGGGCGTTGGCATACATTCAACAATATTCACTCACTTGTAAGCATATGCTGAGGACCACTAAGCACTGGGCACTGTGCTAGGCCCTGAATAACTCACATATATACTTATGAAATTTGATTGAAACATCTATCACATGTGGCAATCACTGGGGAAAAGGAGTGCAAAAGGCCAGATACACTCAGAGCTGTCTATGGGTGAGGCAACAAGGGGAGACACTGGGGCAAAGAGGAGACGTCATTACTGATAAATATGCATCGGTGGTTTCAGAACTTGCACAGTGTCACCTGTTTCCCTCACCTAACTGACACAATGGTCTGTCTCCTGATGAGGGCACCCAGGAAATACTTTGAGCTGTCACACCTGAAAAGCATCACCGTCTGTTGGAAAGAAAGTCAAACCATTAAGGTCTGTTGGGAAGATGATTCCCTTGTGAGGTAAGAAACTTGGGGTCTACCTTTGGCCCTTCTCTAGCTTGCTGCATAGCTTTGGGAAGTTGTCTGACCTTTCTGCGCCTTGGCTTTTTCATGTGTAAAATAGGATTAATACTATTTCTAAGATTCTTGTATCTTTATAATTCTCCACGTGGAGGGGAACACCTGTGAGGTAGAAAGGAGCTAGGAACTAATCTTTGTGCCTGGCCCAGTGATGTAGCAAAAGCATATTCACAATAAAGGCTCTAAGACTGACCTGTAGCATCAGAGTCAGGACACGGCAGCTGATCGCAAACCTCAGCACCTCTTTCCGGGACGGGTCCAGGGGCCACATCCTCTCACAACCAAGAATTCAGGCGTTCTACCAGATCTTCCTCATACCTCTAAACTCCAAAACCCAAACAGGAAAAGCATCACACACAGGCTAAAAGTAAACGGTTGAAAACGTTCTTCATAGGAAACACCACCCGCTTCAGCATTACTATGGCAAGCATAAACACTTAACTACCCAGAGGAGAGAAGAGCTTCTTGAGGGCAGATGGGACCACTGAATGACACTTGGGAGCACTGTATTCACGTTGGACAAGTCCCATCCAGAAAAGTCTGGAGCTAGAAAACTAAGCTCACAGAAAACCTTTAAAAGCCTGTTGAGTTACTCCTATGCAGGAATAAAAAACTGGGGTTCAAGTTCTGACTCTTTCACTTACAAATTTTTAGTCTCTCCGAGCCTCAGTTCTCATAAAATGAGATCAGAATCTTTTTTTTCCTCTGTCACAAAATTGTCATGATGGTGATATGGCCTAACGTGTGAACTACTACACAAATCTATGTTGTGGTTGCTATTATTTGATGTGTGCCCTTTTCCTCTTGCCCAGAATAATATACTAGCTCCCAAACTAAAGTCCCAAAAGTGGGGCACAGAACCATATTGGAAGACCATAATGACTACACATGCCAGCTTAGCTCTCTGATGTGTGTTCAGCTGGTCTGTAAAACTAAGTGGAGAAGGAAAAGAAAACCACCACTCAGCAGGACTTCAGCCAGCTCCCACTGCTAAAACAAACTCAGGGTGAAGACAGAGTTTACTACTAGGGATGAAGAAAAACTTATTTCCCATTTCTTTGTTCAAGTGGCAGCAGCACATAAACAACTGAAAGCCGTTCTGAGGCAAGGAACACAGTTAAGGCATTTTTTACAATTCTTGGGGTTAACAGTAGCAATGGTTCCTACAGAACTTTCAAACACCAGCCTGGGAAACTAGAAAAGACAAGAGCAGCAGAAGTAACTCACTGATGTGGGCTGAAGAACTATGCCTGAAAGAAAAAATATTAAGCAGGGCATGGTGGCACACACATGTAATCCCAGCACTTGTGCAGCTGAGGCACAAGGATCACCGCAAGTTCAAGGCCAATCTGGACTACATGGTGAGACCATGTCTCAAAAAAATTAATTAAAATTTAAAAATTAAAAAAAAATTAAGAGGGTAAAGGGGTCTTCTTTCTTCTTTTATCTGGCCAATACCTACCAAATCTTTAGGTCTCCAGCCTGGGCTACAAAGTGAGCTCAAGGCCAGCCTGAACTGCATAGGGAGACCCTGTCTCAAAAAGACAAAAAAACCCCAAATCTTGAAGTCTCAGCTGTTTCTGGAATTCTCTTTAGATAATATGCTATGCCCTCACTGCCCTGTGTCTCTTTAAAATTTATGTTGTGGTAGCTGGGAGTGAACTCAGGGCCTTTGCACTGAACTACACCCCCAGCCCTTTTTTCTATTTTTTAATTTTGAGACAAGGTCTTGCTAAGTCACCCAGACTGGGCTCAAACTTTTAATCTTCCTGTATCAGCCTCTCAGAATGCTGGGATCACAAGTGGATGCCATCACTCCTGCCTTGCTGTCACTTCTTTAGGTTGCTTGTGAGGCAGGGGCTTCATATCATAACTGTATTCCCGCACACTAACGTTAAAAAGAGGAGCGTGCATGCGTGCGTGTATGTATGCATGCGCATGCTCTTGGGGACTGAAGCACTCTACCACTGAGCTACATTCCAGTCCTTTCAAAAATCTGAGACAGCTTCTTGATAAATTGCCCAGGCTGGGCTTGAACTTGCAATCCTCCTGCCTCAGCCTCCCCAGCAGGAGGGATTGCAGATGTGTACCACCACGCTCAGCTTCAAACAAGCACCTTAAACAGAAGTGGTACAGACAAGATACACCACCAACGGTTTGATGACTAGATGTAAAATCACTGCTCCAAATATCCCTCCCACCATATCTCATGTAAAGAATAAAGTGACAAAGTAACAAGCTCAAGAAAGTAAATTTCTCCAGAAAGGCTGGGCAAGGTTGACTTACAGCAACCATATCCTTTCCCTGGCACAAGGGGGCGCCTGCTGCTCACTCCACCAGGAGGTCAGGAGGAAGGGAGGGGCCCTAACTCCATACCGGTTTTGCTTATGAAAATTCAGTTTAAAGTCAAAACTCCAGAGGGCAGCGGTATTTTGTGATTCTACCCAATTATCTCCAATATCTGACTCTCGGAATCGAGAGAAGTCACAGAAACAGGCACACCCGACCTGACACGCTCGCTGTTCCCCTATTCTAGGGTGAGTTCACTATTTTCCCTTCTTTGGCTTCCACCCACATGCAGAAGAGAAGTTGGGAATAGAAAAGCGCTTAACCCACCTCCGCCTCGTGACCAGACTCGCATTCTTCCTCTCCAGAGTCAAGCTCTGACCTCAGCGACCACAGACTTGCATCCCACACTTAGCTTAAGGTAAACCAAGTAAAAGCAAAAGAAAGCCAGTCACTTCTCGCTTCCAGCTACCTGCCAACCTCACTTTCCATCCAGCCCCTTCCGTGCCAAATCAGACAGTTAGTGGGCAGGCGTTTACACATTTTCCCAGGAGATAAAGAGGACCCTGCAATCTCATTAGAGACTGTGCGGGCAGTATAATTACCATCGCCGTTTTATGGATGTGGAGACTGAGGCTCACTGGGGCCGAGTGACACACCCAAGACTACTTGACCCTCCTATTCTCCGCCTCTGAAACGTCACCCACAGCCACAGGGTACTATGTGCTCTTTCCAGACAGGATTAGAACCCAGGTCCAAGGCCTGGCCCAGCGCTGCCTCCAATGATAGAGCCTGGCCCTTGCTGCATGCTTACAGTATGCCTCGAGAATTTGGAAAAGCCTGCTAACTACAACTAACACCTTCGGCGGGGCGATGTCGCTCTGACCCAGCGTCCTCAGGGCCAAAGGCCTCGCGGGCCGTCTCGAGCCAGAAGTCGCCTTCCGCCGGCCAGGCCGAGTCTGGACCCCGTGCCAGCCTGCTCCCTTTGGACAGACCCTAGCGGGGTCACAGCCCCGCTCCTCATGCCGAAGGAGGCACGGCCCACGGGATACTCCCGAGGGAGTCGGCGGAGCGCTCACTGGGAACAGGGCCGGAAGCAGACGCGGGCGGGAGGCCGTAAAGGAAGAGGCGGTGCCCGAGGACGTTATGGCGGAGAGGCGGGGCTCCACGCTTCTCCGCAGCCTCCGTCTCATTGCTCTAAGCCTCCGTTTGACACTTCCTTCCCTCCCAGAATGCCAAGGCTCGAGAATGGGTGCCCCGGTCTTCCGTGCCCGTCCATCCCTTGCGCCGGCGGGGACCGAATCGCAGCACCTCCATCCGGGGACCGAGCCGTCCGCGCCTGCGCGCTGGCTCCGCGGACGGCGGCTCCGCCCCGCTCCTGCCCGGACTCTGGGTTGTCCCCCCACCCGCCTCCGGCGGCGGCCATGTTGACTCCGGGCGAGCGGGGCGGGGACCACCGCTCCGCACAGCTCTGCCGAGCATCTTCCTGCCTTGGTGTCACCTGAGGAATTTTTGCTCGCACTTCGCCTTCCTCCCCGCCCCCTCTCACGCCTTCAAGCTGCTGGGGCTGTAGTCTCAGAGTCAGTGCCCCTGCCCCAGTTCCATCTTGCTCGGTGCCCTGGGTTCCTGGTGTGGGCCGAAGCTCTTGTAGTCGAGGGCTGCCCCGCTGCCTCTTCACAGAAGCCAGAGCCGCGCGTTCCCCACTGTCAGGCAACAACAGCTCAGCACACGGCCTGACACAATAGGTTTTTTGTGAAGAGTCAAAAGCCTTTTTGGGGTTTCTGCGGCCACCAGTGGCACCTTACATCCTGGGTGTGAAGAAAGTGGGGGATCCCCTTGACTTTCCCCTCCTGGCTACCGGGAACCTTATCTTGCTTCAGTCCTCAGACCCACTCAGGTGGCTCCTGAGGATGGGAAAGAAAACCTCAGACACCGCTAGGGCTCCTTTCTCCCCTCCAGCAGTGTCTCTCGTAGGAAACAGGACCCAATAAAAGGAAGCGAACTCGACCAAACCGTCGGTTAGGGAGGAGCGGCCCGCTGGTGCCCCTGTAACGGAAACTGTTAGAACAACTTTGCACTCTCCTTAAAGGAAACAGATAATAAATCCTTCTCCGTTGGTGGATTTCGCGCTTCTCTGGATTCCAAAGCCTTCTGTGGTTTCAGTTATCTGCCTTCCTAAACGAAGCTAGGGTCTGGGTTACCCTTTGGCCGCAGCCCCAGCCCGAGGGAGGGGTTTATCTTCTCTAACAGCCACTAACGTGGGTGGGAACAAAGAGATGGCTGCTATCTCTCCAGGCAAAGAAAACTGGCCCACTTTGGGAGCGGGGAGGACTGTATCTCTGGGCTGTCTATAACGCATTTCAAGTCCCGAGACCTAAACTGCCCCGAGATGTTTGTTGTGTGCAAAGTGGATAACGTACAAGGCGCGTTTTAGTTAGTTGTTGGAGAAGCGGGGGGAGCGGGGGGGGGATGAAACTTAGCAGGCCTCTCCTCCCAGGTTTTTCAATGGCATGCATTTGTTTCAGCGCCAGAGGCCTATGAGTAAAATGGCAGTCTCACGACACTCTTGTGACTGGGACCCAAGGTAGTGACTTGAATCTCTAGAATCTTATAAAGCTCCAGGCAGCGCTCTATTTGCAAAGATAAAATTGAGAAATGGACTGTCCTTGCACTGGGAATTCACAAAGGAAAAAAGCCATAATATTCTCAGGGTTCTGTCCACACCAGATTCCCTCACAAATCTGTTTGTGAAAAGGGAGGGGTCTTTTGTGACGAGTCAGAATGTTTTCTAAGAGCTCAACTGTCCCCCTTTTAGAGGTAGGACTTTGTCCAGATCTTCAGCTCCACTTTCCTGCACTCTCTCTTTCCTTCTTTGCTACCCAACCCCCGCCTCTTCCGCTCTGTTTCCTGTTTCATTTTCTGGCTCCTGCTCTGACAGGAAAACAAGGAGGCTGAATTTTGTGTTCTCAAAGCCCTAGCTCCGTGGCTCTTCAGGTTCCAAGGGGCCTCAGTGGGATTGGAAGGGATCTGGTGCTGTAAGGTTATGAGTGAGAGGTGAGGGGGCAGCTCTCCTCAGTCTGCTTTTAGAGTCTGCAGCTAAAATGGAGGCTGCATCAGCACAAGGAGCCAGCTGAGCGATCAGATCTGTGGTAAGTAAGCGAGACAGCCATATCCCAGGGCTCCAGACTCTACACCTCCCAGCCACTTCCATTAAGAACCAGATATCCCACACCACCAAGAAATAGTTTCATAATACAAATCCCCAAACAAAGCAATGAAAGCACCACTTTCTAGAATTCAAGAGGGTTACATCATTTCTGTTCCCTGAACTTGCCTGGCTCTGCTCTTGCTATTTCCCCTGCTTGAAACATTCTACCACCAGGTCAGCCCATTATATTTGGGTCTCGGTGGACATGTCACCTGCTCAGAGGGGGCTTCTCTGACTGCCCAGCCACAAATACCTCCATGTACTATTCCATCAATTCTGTTTTCTTCACAGCACTGAACACCATTTGCTTATCCTGTCTGTAAATGTGACTTGTTCATTATCTCTTTCCCCCTTAAGAAGCTTACATTCTCTTTCTGGAATGTAAGCTTCTGAATATGATGGAAAAGCAGGACTCTTGCTCCGCAGTATATCCCCAGTACTTAGGGTAGTACCTTGAAGTTTGTGTCTCCTCAGTACAGAGCTAATGAGTAAATCAATTTCTCGTGGTACCCATTTTTTGTGGATGAGAGAACTAAAGCGTACAAAACAGAAATGACTGGACCAAAAACTCATACAGTCAGAGATGGGACTTGAATTCAGGTCTCTATCCTCCTGAGATGGGTTTGTTTTCTGTTTCTTTCTTTCTTTTTTTTTTTTTTTGTTTTTGTTTTTTTTTTCCGGTATCAGGAATCGAACTCATGACCTACGCTTGCCAGGCAGGCGCTGTGCCACTGAGCTAAATCCCCAGCCCATTGTTTTTTGTTTCTTGTTTTGTTTTGAATTTGAGAGGATCTCACTATCTACTTCAGGCCGGCCTTACACTCACTATATAGCCCACGCTCAGCCTCCTGAGTGCTGGGATTATAGTGATGGGTACCACACCCAGGTCTCCTGTGCTGGTTCTATCACTCCACATTTTTAATTTTTCCCAGGTTTACTCCTTTCCTTCTCTTCCTTTTGTCCCACAGAGCTAAAATGTCTACTAAGAATGCTATGTTAAGAATCCTATATGAGGGGCAGGGGATTTAGCTCAGCAGCACAGCACCTGCCTGGCAAGCGCGAGGTCATGAGTTCGATTCCCAGTACCGGAAAAAAGCTGAAAAAAAAAAAAGAATCCTATATGGGGGATGCCAAGTTTTACCTACTTCTTCCATTTCTTCCTCCTGTTTACTCTTTGTTCCAGCAAATTCCTATTTAACCTACTTGATTTATTCAACACTATAGGTATCTACCATGTGACAAGGGGTGAGGATATACCACTGAGCAAGACATACACAGTCCTTGCCCTCGTGGAGATATCTACCTCGCAGGATTTATAGCGTTTGTCAAAAAGTGCTCAATAAGGCCAGGGATGGTGGCTCACGCCTGTAATGTCAGCATTGAGGCAGGAGGATCACCATGAGTTCAAGGCCAGCCTAGGCTACACAGTGAGCTGTCTCAAAAAAAAAGTGCAGCTAGGCATGGTGGCACATGCCTGTAATCCCAGCACTCGGGAGGCTGAGTCAGGAGGATCGTTGTGAGTTTGAGACCAGTCTGGGGTACAAAGTGAGCTCAAGGCCAGCCTGAACTGCATAGCAAGACCCTGTCTCAAAAAGACCAAAAAAAAAAAGAAAAAGTGCTCAATAAAGACCGGCTGTTACAACTCCCTGACCAAGAAAGCGAGCAATGTTTCTGCTGGAGCAGAGGAAGGAGTTCGGAGGTTCTGCAACACTCCCCTCTGTAGAGCAATCTTAACTCATTTGTCTCTCTAGCTGCCTTGCCTTGCTCCTGACTCCACATTTGGAGGTGGCCTTGGCCCCAGGGTGGATAGAGCAACAGCCTAGTGTATATATTGACTCTCAGTGGCTCAGTTTCCTGACACTAAGCTTCCTGCCACCCCTGTCCACGGACTGGAGTTGTTTACTCTGCTATGGGATGCTGGCTTCCACTGTGGGGCAAAAGTGACCATGCTGGTCCAAATTCCGTCACCATCAAGTGTTAGCAGGCAGGGCCAGTGCACTTGATGACAGGCAGTGCTGCCTCACCAGAACTTCATGCTACTTCTATTATAGGGAAGAGGACATTCACTGGCAGCTTCCACATTGTGTCTGGATGACACATTCATCCTGACACCTAGGGTCACACCAGTCAGTCTTGTACATTTTTGACCTCTGCTGGATCACTTGAGTATGTCCATCCACCCCAGGTCAAAGGCCTTGCCAGTCCTCTGACTGTTGGAGCCAACACTGATGCTTCAAAGCTCATGAACACTTTTCAGCGTTCCTTCAGTGTTTGCTTTTTAGTAGAAAACCTTGATCGCACTGGGAAGCCTGGTGGGAAGGCCTTAGCCATTTAGGGGTGGCAGCGGTTGCAACGCAAACGAGCCAATGAGGTTGAGAGTATTGTTTAGGCTGGACTTGGCTGCTGTCCAGCTACGAAGAAGGTTAAGGTCACTTGGGGGGTGGGAAGGGAGGAGCCTGGGAAAAGAACGACTGGCCACACCCCTAAGTTCTCTACTGGTAAGGTTCTATTTACTTCTCAAAAGCAAATTATTCACAGCTCAGTGATCAGCAGTTCTGTTGGCTGTAGTAGCTCTAGTCAGAAACTGGAGACCAGGCCAGGCCCCCACTGCATTGCATGGGACCAGATGAAAGGAACCCAGGAAACTGAACTCCTAGGTAATGCTCCTTCTACAGCCCAGAAATGCACTCTCTAGATTAGAAAATGGAGCTCAAGAGGCCAAGAGCAAAAAAAATAGCCATTAGCAATATTGCTTACCAAAACATAGATGTGAAAAATCTCCCGTTTTAGTCTTTTTTTCCAGACAAGTCCTAGGAAGGGATCTGGGTTGACAAAAAGGTTGTTCTCTGAATAGAGAAAGATTATTCATTCTGGTCCCTGACCCAAATATGAACACCCACACTTAGTTGGATGCACACTTGATTGAAATTCTTGGGACAATTTTACCTCATGACAGATCCAATAAAAACGAATCTTGCTTGCTGCGCACAACCAGATTGTTAGTCCTAGTTGTCCCCGATCTAGAGAGGAAGTATTACTGTGTGTATACAGTAATACAGGGAAGAGCATGGGCCTGAGTCAGGTGGGCCTCGCCTAGCATGTGAACTTCCTACTGAAGACCTCACTTTCC